CTTCTATCAAGTTCAGTATAACCAGATTTATGTTGCAGTCTTTGATCCACTTGGACTTGAGTTTTGTGTGTGGTAACAGATATGGATCTATTTGCAATCTTCTACATGTTGTCTTCATTTGTCATGGTATCTCTTTCCTTGCTCTCCCACTCTGTCCCTGGGCCAGCTTGAACATTCCATTCCCCTATGTTCTCATCCTCCATCACTTGCCCTCCATTACCCCCCCACCCCAATTTGCTTATGTAGATCTCATCTATTTCTTCTTCACTAGGTGAGCCAAGCATCCCTCCTAGGGTCCTCCCTGCTAGCTAGCCTCCCTGGAGCTATGGGTTGCAATCTGGTTATCCTTTGCTTTACATCTAGTATCCATTTATGAGTGAGTACATAGCATGTTTTCTCTCTGAGTCTGGGTCTTGAGTGTTCTTCAGACACAAGACCTTTATCATTCTAGCCTACCTCCTTATAGCTGCCCATACTCAGGTTTCCAATGTTGTGAATTTGCTCACAACATTCATTCTATGTATAATTAAGAAAAAAAATCTGCATTTCAAACTCTACAAAATTCCAGAGATGCAGAGATGAGTAAGACCTACAATTTTCCTCTAAGTCAGTATCAGCTTATTTAACAGACCTTTCTTGATAGCCTAGAAATATATAAACCCTTTGCTATTGGTACCAAGGCCATTGAGTATCTCCGTTTCCTTTTCTTTCATCTATCATGTCTAATATGGTATATGTCTTGTGGTAGAATGAACTCTATAATGGTTATATGCTATCTTCACTGCTGTATAAAGTTAGACACATAGAAGACATCTGAGGAACAGTCCTTGAGTGTAAGTGGACTTGGTTAATGATTTGATGGAAAAAGGACAATCTGATCTGAACACATACAGAAGGAACCTACTACAAAGTGAATAGGTAAGGCAAAGGAGGTCTTTTACTGTTTTGCTTCCTTTAGCAGTGATGGGGATGGAGCCTTGTGCCTCACACATGCTCAGTAAATGCTCAACAAGCTGAGTTTTGTCCCTAGTCAGCCATCTTCTTTTTATACAGCAATTTGTATTTCCAAGGAACTATTGCAGGATGGGAGGTGTAATGAGGACAAAATTGATCAAAGTAGTATTCTCAATGAGTTTGATGCTAATGGCTGGATGCTATTTTATGATAGCTATTTGTTTTCAATTGTGTATTTCTTAAAATATCGACATGCTATTCACTCTATTAGCAAGGCAAATTCAGTCATCAATGATTGTCAGCCTAGAGCATTTCAAGGCTTTCTTTTTCCTTTTCATTTAATTTTCTTCTTTTTTAAACACTGTATTTCTTTTTCCCATTATCTCCGTTCTGGAACAAGGAATTTGGATATTTACAAGTAATATGCAAACCTGAGCTGAATTTTTATTATGCTGACAGTTTTAAAAAATGTTCGGTTTCAATCTAACACAAGAATCTTAAATACCAGATAATTTAGGCTATATGAAACAAATACACATTGGCTTCCCAACTGCCAATTCTCCCACCTCCATTGATGATGGGACCTTGAGTTGATCACAAAACAGAGTTCTGAGAAATAGTTTCCAAATTGTGCATTCATAATTCTGACATGAGGTAGTCAAGCTTTTCAGATGAGCCTCACTTCTGCTGCCCAGGCTATGCCTGATAGCCCCTAGTACCGCCAGCTCTGCCACTCCACTAAGCTGTTTCCAGACAGCGTTCTCAATGAGAAGCCCAGGTGGATGTTACTGCAAACCAGGGCAGAGAGGCTTGACAAATTTGTAGCCTCAAAAGCTATGTGAAGAAGTTAGTCTAGTCCTGCCTGTTGAGGGAGCACCAGCCAGTAGCATCCTCTGGGCACAGTGGTACACCTTGTAGAATTCAGAAGTTACAAAGTCATGAGAGTAAAAGCTACCACAAAATTCACCCAGAAGACAGTGAAGGTTAGAGACAGGGGCCCTGGGTGATGGGGAACATTCACTAAGAGAAGATAATAAGTAGAAAAGGCAGATCAAGGGCAATGTGGAGAAGCAGATGTGGATGCTGGAATATCTGCAACTAATAATTCTTGTATAAGAATTATTAGTTGGTTTCTTAGAAAGCAAGGAAGAAAGGAGTTATAAGAAAAAAACAGACTAAAAACTACTTCAATGAGATCAGGTAGGACTTAGTTCAGCATGGCACTTGGCTGGCTGGCTGGCTGGCTGGCATGGTACACACTGCAAGGTTTTTCAGAACAGTCACAGAAGGTTTCAGGAGGAAATGTTTTAGGGAAGAAAGGCTGGCCAGCTAATGCTGTCTTGCAACTTAATTAAGGAAAAGCCATGCACAGGGCAGCCTTGGGAAAGGGAATTTGTTTTATAAATAAAATAATTCTCATGTGTTTATAAACTGTAAATAAAGAATGAAGAGAGAGAACGCCCTAAAAGAAAGAGGAGAATAAATAACTGATGGATTGTGGGCACTTGGTGAACATAGGGATGTAACTTTGAGAGAGAGATGAGGAATGTCTTTGAAATGAAGGGAAAAGAAGGATGGCTACAGACCCAGGCATGAATATCCCATGGATGCCTCATGGTTTGATTAACTGACGCTCCCTGATACAGAACAACTGTGCTTCAAAGCATCAGCCACCTGCCTCTGGAAAATACTCGTGTTGGTTGGTTTTTGCTACCCTCACACAAATATAGACATATATTGGAAGATGAAATCTCAAATGAAATTTTTCCTCCATCAGATTGGTCTGTTGGCATGTCTGTGAGGCATTTTCTTGGTTAATGATTGATGTGGGTGGGTCCAGCTGGCTGTGAGTGGAGCTATGTCTGCGCAGGTAGTCCAATGCTATATAAGAAAGTATACTGAGCTGGGCAGTGGTGGTCCACGCCTTTAATCCCAGCACTCAGGAGGCAGAGCCAGACGGATCTTTGTGAGTTTGAGGCCAGCATGGTCTACAGAGTGAGATCCAGGAAAGGCACAAAGCTATACAGAGAAACCCTGTCTCAAAAAACCAAAAAAAAAAAAAAGAAGAAGAAGAAGAAGAAGAAAGAAAGTATACTGAGCAAGCCAGCAGAGAGAACAAGCCAGTCAACAGTGTTCCTTCATGACCATGGCATCAGTTCCCACCTTCAGGTTCCTGCCCTATTTGAGTTCTTATCCTGACTTCTCCAAATAATCCACTGTGATCTGGACATGTAAGCCAATTAAAGCCTTCACTCCCCAGGTTGTGTTTGGTCTTGATGTTTATCACAGCAATATAAAGCAAACTAGAACAATAGTTTTCCTCCTTACAACCCATTTTGAGTGAGTTACATGAATCCCATTTTAAGCAATTTTTCTTAAAGCATATAAAATAAAATATATATTAACTAAAATAATTGAATTAAGATTTCAGGACTGTAGTGAGCAGATATAAGCTGCCTTGGCAGTGATAATTTTATGGGGCTATTTGCTTATTCATGTACTACATAGTCACTGAAATCTTTGGAAAGCTTTTTCTAAAAGATTTGCATCAATTGCACTGACATTCCAGCTCCTTTCTGTGGCAGGCATTCAAAATATGGGAATTTTTTAAAAATCTTTTTTAAAGGATAGAATGCACAGTATTATTCTGCTTTTAAATGATAATAATGGTGTTACATACTCTTGTAATTGTATGTAGTCTACGCTCAGATGAGTGGACAGTCAGTAGAATGATAGCTTGACAGAAACTCCTTATTGCAAATATCACACTTGCTCCGTGTTCAGGTGCACAGCTGTTCCTACCCTGCTACTCTCTGGCAAGTTCAAGTTGACCTCCTGGTGTTCAAAGCCAAATGCCACGGCTTCTTCCTCCACCAGTATCAGAACTATGTAGTCTCATGATAATCAGGAGCCTTGGAAGTGTTTCTCTTTCCACATTCAAAAGCTGAATGGTGAAATGATTAAAATTCACTTAAATTCTCAGAAGGAATCATGATCAGAATTTTCTAAGTTCTCACCCTGTTTTTAAATGAAATTAAGAGAAAACAGAGCATTATTCTCTGTCAGCACACCCTTTCCAGCCCCTTTGTTACAGTTTGTTTCAATATTCTGTTTTCTCCTTAAATGGGGAGAAGGGATAGGGACAGTCACAAGTTTGTTCATTTCTTTGGTAAGATTGGCTTAAGGACATTGTACCCTTCTTAAGAATAGACATAAAAAACTATGAAATATTTAGTTCCAGGGTAAAAATACAGCAGAAGAATGCGTATGCTTTCCAGAAGTAACTTGCCTAATATGTTCAATAATTTTGCCAAAATACATACAAAGATCTTAATATACTAGTATGAACCTGTGGTTTACGATATTAGCCTTTTAGAAATGTATGGATTCGCAGGGCGGTGGTGGTGCATGCCTTTAATCCCAGCACTTGGGAGGCAGAGCCGGGCAGATCTCTGTGAGTTCGAGGCCAGCCTTGTCTCCAAAGCGAGTTCCAGGAAAGGCACAAAGCTACACAGAGAAACCCTGTCTCGAAAAAACAAAAAAAAAAAAAAAAAAAAAAAAAAACCAAAAATAAAAAAAAAGAAAAGAAAAAGAAAAAGAAAAAAAGAAAGAAAGAAAAGAAAAAGAAATGTATGGATTTAATTTATTTGTATACCTACACATGGCCATCTTCTTGTTGCTTTCGAATAGGTCAGGATGAATAGGTTGGGTCAGGATGTTATTACCCATCTATTTTCAGGATCCATTTACAACTCCTTTCCCATCACCCATTGCAAACTCTTCAGTTCAGATGTGACCTTGCCCCCACATGAAGCTAAGCTACAGCTCCTCTACCCTCAAACCTTGGCACTTCAAATAATGTTTCACATGATTTCAGCTCAACATGAAGTTGTGTCTAATACATGTCTGACTTTCAAAACACCAGCAGGGCCCCAGAAATAGATACAAGAAAGAGTTGGCTCTCACAGTTTGCCTCAGTGCTTAGTCAGACTCTTATTTAGTCATTCTAGGACTTCCAACCTTGAGATGTGTATGCTCTATATATTTGATTGTAAAAGTAGACTTTAAGTGCATATAAATCTTTAACTTCTGCCACATCTAGTATGATGAACTATTTGAGTTCCAGCAGCAACTGTGATCAAAGTGGACCATAGAAAGCAATCTGAAAACCCATGTCTGTCCTCATTGCTCTCATCTCATTAGTTTTGCTATAGGGTCTGCCTATACATCCGTGTGATGCTCAAGGTTAGATGACAATCAGCCAGGCTCCAGGTCTCCAGCATCTGCTGCTCTAGCACTGAGTTCAGCAGGGGAGAATGACATTTGGAAGCAGAACTGGGTGGTGGTGGTAGAGTGTTCTGGTACATAGCAGGCATTTTATTTCAACGTGAGAATAGCCAGTGACTCTCACAGCCCTCTGGTGGCTTTATTCCTTAGGGTGAACAAGAGTGCATAAGAATGAAACCCACTCCTCTAAGGCTTAGATGAGCTACTTTTTAGAGCTGTCTATCTGTCCTCACACAAGTAAACTAACCCTGGAGTGTCTCAGGCCACCCCTGTCTAGTCAACTTTGAATTTTGTATTGTTTCCATCCCTGTAAAGAAATAAAGGTAAGCAGTTGGAGAATTGGAAGCTTAAAGAAGCTTTTTAAAAATATGAGCATTTTTATGTCTTCCCATGTCAGGGACATGGACAGAATCTCTAGTTAGTGGAAAAATACAGACCACCGATAAGACGGGGAACTAGATCAGCTTACAGTCAGGTTGCCTAATAACAGGACATTGAGTCAGAGCCCTTGACCCTCTCACCCTGTAAACATCCTATACAAACATCCTGTTAGCTTGCCCCACCTTATGCAGATGACAGCTTCTTGCTCCCCACACCCTGCAGGAACTATATAAACCTTTGTGGAAGGAAATAAAGTGGCACCTTGATCAGAATCTAGACTAGGTGTGTTTTCCTTTGTATCTCTTGTCCCTACATTCCCTCCTTAGGGTAGTCGAGAATCCATTGTAGCCCTGCAGGCAGGGCATTCCCACAATATGTAAGATTTTTATCCTGTTTAAAAATCATAAGGTTAAGCCGGGCGGTGGTGGCGCACGCCTTTAATCCCAGCACTCGGGAGGCAGAGGCAGGCGGATTTCTGTGAGTTTGAGGCCAGCCTGGGCTACCAAGTGAGTCCCAGGAAAGGCGCAAAGCTACACAGAGAAACCCTGTCTCGAAAAACCAAAAAAAAAAAAAAAAAAAAAAAAATCATAAGGTTTATGTGCCTGGTTTCATAATAGTCTTTTTGTTGGTGAAATAAAGTAGCCAAGGAAAAACTTTCTATTAAAATGTTTTAAATGTTAGGATTCTAAGAAAATGAAATTGTTACTTGGCTACATTTGAAGCTTAAAAACATAAAAATAAACAAAATCCAAAATGTTAAGTCCCTTGTAAAAATCATATAAATCTCTTGGTTTATATAACTAACATTGACCTCTGTGAGTAATTAAAACTTGTCCTTTACAGTGAGTAACAGGAGTCTCTCTTGGCTTGTAATATTGATGATACTAGCATTCAAGGCAGGGCAAAACAGATGGTGTAAGCTTGTGCATTTGAGTGTTTGCATATATGCATGTGTTTGTGAGGGTGTACTGTTGCTATAATAGACATCACTGCTTCTCTCTGTGATGAGTGTCTGTCACCAAGGTGGCAGCACAGAAAAGGTGACAGGAGAAGTTACTAAGATGAAGTGAACATATCCTAAAATTATTCTCACTCATGTCTTTCTGCTGTTAGCTGAACTGTGTACTTCAGAATACAACTGTACTTGGAGGCAAGGTCTCTAAAAAGGTAACTAAGATAAAATGATGTTACAGTCCTAAGTTAACACAACTGCTATCTTTATAAGAAGGGAAAATTAAAACCCAGGAGTTGTGGAATGTTAAATTAAGATGTGTTACATTCATTTATGCTATGCAATATTTGTTTGGTGATGCAAATATGTGTTGCATTCTTTTATGCTGCATTTAACTCTGTGTTTTTGCCTGTCTAAATTTTGCCTGTCTAAAATACCTGATTGGTCTAATAAAGAGCTGAATGTCCAATAGCTAGGCAATAGAATAAGTGGGATTGGAAAGCAGAGAGAATAAAAAAGAGGAGAAATCTGGGCAAGAAAAGATCTAGGAGCCAGAGGAGGACTCAAGGGGCCAGGCACCCACCTTCACAGCAAGCCATGCAGTAAGAAGTAAAGAAAGGTAAACAGAAATAAAGAAAGGTAAAACCCAGAGGCAAAAGATGGATGGGATAATTTAAGAAAAGCTGGCGATGAACAAGCCAAGCTTAGGCCAGGCATTCATAAGAAAGAATAAGACTCCATGTGGATTTATTTGGGAGATGGATGGTGGGCTCCTCTAAAAAGTAAAGAGTAAAAAACAACCAACTATACCCCAGAATGCACAGAAGGAACTCAGAGCGAAGACAACCACATATAAGTCAAGGAGAGGCATCTCAGAGGAAACCTTAGTGACACCATGATCTTGAAAATCTGACCTGAAGAACCATAAGTAGCTTCCTGCTGGTGAAACTCCCAGGCTCTGTACTTTGTTACAGCTGTGGAGGTCCACAGAGGTTTCCTAGTGAGATCTGAGCTAGCTTTACCCAGCAGGGCTGCATTAGAGTATGGCTTTCCAGGTGATTGGAAGGGTTTGCACTTGGCTGTGCTAGGAGGAGATCTTTTGCTCTGCCCCTTAGCATTTCTATAAAAAGCCCTTTAGAAGAGACAGAGAGGGGCTGGTGGATATTGATCCAGGCCCTCCTGAAGCTATCCTGTGTTTCTGCCTGTTTCTTTCCCCACAATATTTCTAACATTTCTTATCCCTCTCTCCTCAAGAGTACCCTGGGGGGAAAGTGGGAGCTGGTCTCCCACAGATGGTGCCAGAATGTGGGGTCCAAGTTCAGGGATCCCCACAGAACAGGAAATTAACTAGGGACTTGGTGAAAGAAGAGAGGGGATGTTGCAGAGCAGGCCGGCATGCCCGGTAATGAATTAAAAGTAAAGGTGATAATACTCTATTTGGGGAGTATATAGATGAAGCAAAGCAGTTGAAAGAAATGCCAAAGCAAGAAGTTAGGCTGCGGTGAATATCTCTCTCTGTCCAGGTTTCTTTCTTTCTCTCTCTCAATTTCTATCTATCAAAATTGAAAAAAATATAGGGTTAAGTATAGGAATATAGTGTAGGAAAAAGCTTATGGTAAAGTAGAACATAGGAATATAGTATAGGAAAAAACTTAGAAAAGCAACAAGACAGAGGAGCTGTGTTCTTGGGACTCTGAATGCAGACTCCTGGGGAAGAATTACAGTTATGAAAAAATACTATTAGGAAAATGGGCAGAAAAAGATTCCTGTGGAAGCTTTTGGCCTGTGGACAGCTTAGATCTGAGTCCTGAGCATTAGGGAAAGGAAGTTTCCCTGAGACCGACATGGGTGAAACAAAACCCTCCACTCTGCTGGCAGACACTCTTACAAACACTGTACAATCAGAGTCAGTTTCCTCTTAGCCATGAAGTCAAGTTTAGGGAACAGAAGTCTTGGGAAAAGCTTAGTAATCTCTCAAAAACTGGAAGCTTTTCAGGTCTTTTCTTCTCAGATCTCTTTTCTTTCTCTAAGGGCAAAATTAGAGTCACCTGGAGTGACCATCTATCAGAATGGGAAAATCACCTGTAATTACCCTAGCCCAAAAAACCTCTCAGAATATGGCAAACCCTCATTGATAGTACTGTCTCTGCTTCAAGTCAATATTAAAAAAGCAGCAGACACTTTGGACCCTAACTAGAGTCCCCTGCAGCCAGAGCCTATCAAGAGATGCCCAGGAGAGTGCAGACAGAGAGCCAAGCCTGGCAGCAGCCCCTATCCCCCCGGGGTGGAAAGGCTGTGGAGATAGTGCTGCAGACCTGTGAAAAAGCTGCTGGCATGGAGAAAAGCAGTGGCAGCTTTGAAATCCTCCTTGCAATGAAAAGGGCAAGGTCTAAGCCCCTAGCAGGAGCTGCAGTGGCAGCACAGGGAAAGCTGAGGCATGATTTGGCCATACAAATGAGAAAGAAATTGGGACTCAAGCCCCTACCCCCAGAACAGAAAGAGCCTGAGCAGTCGTAGTGACATCAGGGACTCTGCATGCCCCTGGACATGCAGGACAAAGAGGATCGATGGTGGGGGGGATCTTTCTGAAAAAGCTCTTATTTCAAGCACTCTTGTCACTAATGCAGTGAGGTAGGGGAGCAAAGCCCTGAAGGCTTTTTGTTTCTGGTACCAAGTGCTGGTCCGAATGTGCACAGGCAGATGAATGGGTGCGACCTGCTCTGGCAACAGTGTCAGGTGAAAAGACTGATTAGGGAGGTATATTAGTGTCCTAATGTGAGGTTGGGAAAGATGAAAAAACTTCCCGTGACAAAAGAGCAAAAGCTTGATTACAGACCACATGAAGGAACCAGAAGTGCAGTGTCTGCAACTGGCCACAGCTGAGTTTTCTCCCTGATGCAGAAAAGTAGCTTGGAAAATACAGTTTGTAACAGTGTAGCAATACAAGCAGGCCCAGAGGGAAGCTCAGATAGAGCAGCAAAATGCCCAAGGGAAATGCTGCTGGTACAGGTACGACCCAAAATGCTGCTTTTCCCCAAGCACTGTTAAAAAGCTTAGCTTACCTCCTAAAAATGGGAAACAGGTGAAATCTTGCCTGTCAGGAGGCAATTAAAATGCTAATGCTGTTTGTCAACAAGCCATTTTGAGACCCTATAGAAAGCAAGGGAAAACAGTCCTAACACCAGGAAATTGCTTTGGGAATGGAAAAACCTTATGGGCAAATAAAAAACTTGGGCTGTGCTTGAAATGCAAGAGAGAAACATTGGCATCATTAAAAGAGCTCATGGCAATCTTAAGATGCAGCTTTAAGAAATTAAGAAGGAGGAAATTTTATGCTCAGTCACCAAATGAAGTTTGTTGGCTGCCTGAGTTTGGTGAGCTATATGGAACAGAGAAATGTCAGCTCCAATGACATGCCTCTAGAAGAGCCAGAATAAGATCAGTGGAACCAATGTTCCTGATATTGAGGTTCTATCCTGCAGTCTGAGGAAAGGGGCCCCTAGACTGCTGAAGAGTTTGGGACAAAGTTTTGTCGCTATTGGAGTGAAATGGAACCTGGAGCCACACTGCTTCTAATGGCAAATTAATGTGTGGCCCTTTTAAGAAACAGTTTGAGAATACAAAGACTCTAGAGCCAATGACCAATTAGGCTCTGATGATGTCAAAGCTGACTATGCACTTCCAACTTCAAAAATGAAGCTGTTTTGAGTTCGTCTACAATTTTAACTGTGGTAACTTAAGATTTGCGAACTCTCTGTCTTGTTGGAAGAAAATGTAAACAGTTTTGTTAAGAGATTTTTTCTCTACATGTTTGCTAAAGTTTGTAAAATAGTCCTATAGAGTTTCATTTTGAATATCTTTGTAAAAAGTGTAAATATGTATAGTGATATTTATGCTAGTTGTAAATATGTAATGTTAATACTAGAATTGTTTTTATTACTCCATCAATATCTGTCTAGTCCAGAAAAATTAGGTAACATTAATTTTTAA